ATATTATTAACATATAAAATATTATTCAATACATAAAACTATATATGTAATTGTACATATACATACACATTTTGACATGACCTTTCGAATTAATAAAAGGGTAGAAATTTAATATTAAAACAAAATTTTCAAACTTTCAAAATTTAAATATTAAAAGTATTTAACTAAGAAATTAAATCCTACTATGTTTATAAAAAGTTAATAGTTGATATGTTCATTTTATTTTTAAGAACTTACTAATTCAAATCCCGGTTATATTTTTATATATATTCTTATTTACAGATTAGTTATATAATGTTATGATTAATGTCTGTTTATCTGTGTGCATTTATTTCTTTAAAAAAAATTATTATCAACATAAAAAGATTAAAAAGAAAAAAGAAATTAGAACACATATATATATATATCTATATGTATGTATATTGAAGTAAATCTAGTTATATATATATACATATACATATATATATATATATATGGAGTGAAATAGGTAGAGAATTATTGACCTTAAAGCGCATAAACTCATGCTTGAGAAGTTTGACAAAATCCTCATCCCATCTCTCAAATAATCTTTCATCTTCCACAAACAAATTAGGGTTTTCCTTTCTAAAACCTTTTCTTTGCTCAACATGTGAATTTCCCAATACTGAGATTAATGATTTCTCTTCAACTCCAAGCCCTACAAGAAAAAGATTAATTAACTTCTTAATTACTTGATTAATTACTTAATCAATCAATTGAGGGTTAAAATTAAAATTAAAATTAAAATTAAAGGTGAAGAGGGTAATTAACATTAAGAAACCTGAAAATGCTTTGCTCAAGGCTTCCAACTCCATTTCTCTTTGTTGATTCAGAAAATGAATGGGAAAAAAAACACTACGTGTAATCCAACATTTATATCGACCCACAAGGGTATTTTAGTCATTTCACAACACCTAAGACCGCGTTTGGCTCGCTTTTTTTTTCTCGTCACATTATTGAATGTTCACATTGAAATCATAACGCTTTTATAAGATTAAATAAATTATTAAATAGATTATTTAATTTACAAAAGAAAACTTCCAAACAAATTAAAAACAAGATTTGTTTTTTTGCGATATTGTCCTTGTAGTTTTACATAAATGTCATCGGCCCCGTATTTCATAAATGCTACCTAACCAGACTCTCGTCTTTTTCTATTATATTTAAGTCTGAGTCAGATATTTATATTTTTAGTAATGAAGTTATATTATATGTATTTTCGTTAAAAATTTATATTATTATTGATATATATTTATTATTTAATTAATAAAATATATAAATTTTAATTAAAAATTATTAAGGTTATTGAATAATTATTTTTTTAATTTTAAATAAAAAAAGTTTAATAATAAATAGAGATTTATCTGATGTTAAGAATCAATAAAATAACAGATATTTTATTTCATATATTATAAAAAAAAAAATTCTAAAATATTTTTTAATTCTTGATGGAGAAGGTGTTGACGTATAATTCGACGGTCCCATTTGCTTTTTTTTTTTTCTTAAAAAAAAGTCAATCAAAACGTGTAACACACATAAATAAATTTTTATTTAATTACGTTATTTTTAAGTTATAAAATAATTTATTTCGAGTGTGATTTAAAAAAATTAAGATGATGATTATGCGATATCTTATCATTAATCACATTAGTATTAAATATATAACTTGTGATTAGCATGATGCTTATAATAATAATTTCATTGACTTCCCATGATTAATTAATTATATATGTGATCTTAACATATCATAAGCCTATGTTTCTTAGTTTAGATTTCTTACCCATTACATGAAAGATGTATAAACAAGCTTATATATTTAATTCAAAACATGTGATTCATCATATGAAATATAATATATATATATATATATAATATATATATATATATACATAAATTTAAATTATAATTTTTTAAAATATAAATAAATTATGTTGTAATTATGAAAAGTAGTTGGGAAGACTGTCGGTGCACAAGCTTCTCATGTCATCCATATATTATTATTACTATTTTTTAATCTTATTTTTTCTCTTTCACAAAAATTGAAGAAGCTTCGAGATCGTCACTAGATAAGCTTGTGATAAGTGTTTTGGATATTTTATTGCATGATGTTTTATCAATTTTATAGAGAATTAGAAAATAAATGAATATTAATTTTACCATTAACGTTGTATCTAATGGTTAATATTTTTGTGTTTTATATAAAAGTTATAAGTTCAAAATTCATTTAAAATATATAAAATTACCCACTTTGTCAATGTAAGATGATTGATAGTAATGATTATCTCACAAATACTTGATTCAGTATAATACAAGAATTTGATTATTAATGTTTTTATAGAATTGAGATGACTTAGTTGAATTTTATTTCGATGAATCATGACATAATAAACTCATAATATTTTATTAAACGATACATAAAAATATAGAATTCTCCAGTTTTGAGGATATATTATGATTGTTGGTGATGATCGGCTCAGAAATACTTGATTCAACATGATTCAAAATTTTGGTCATCAGCATTCGATAGAACTGAGTTGAGTTTCATCTCATCAATTTATAACGTATTCAAACTAAAGATAGTGTCTAATGGCTAAACTATATATATTTTACTTAACAATTATGATTTCGAACCTCAATGATAATATGCTTACATTTCATTGAAAATGTATAACTCTCATCTTTGTAATTATATTATGTTTATTTGTGGTACTTAACTCATATTATTTAATTACCAAGAATATAAAAATTTAATCATTAGTGTGTTAGTAGAATTAAACTGATTAAATTGAATTTGATTTCAAACTTAATATGTAATACTAGAATTTGTTGCATCTTATCTATATAGTAGAATATATATATATGTATAATGGGTTGATTAAATATTATGTTAATTGATACGGGTAAATACTTGTTTGAATGGAATAGAATATTATTAAGTACTTCCATTTGAATTCAATATATAAAGAAGTGTCAAATGATTTCCAACAGTTTCTTGCTAACGATATCATGAGTGTCTTCCAACAGTTTCTCACTGACGATATCATGAGTGTCTCTTGATCTCTGAATGTGCATGACGATTTCTTAATTTTCTTTTAACTTTTACCTCTCCTTGTACCAGAAAAAAGGAAACAAAAAGAAAAGATATATCATAAATAATAATTTATGGTAAACTAGAGAAGAGTTCTTAAAATTCTGAGTGTAATTATACTTAAATACAATTGCAAATTAATTCTTGTGTCTTGAATAAATATGACAATGTTTTGGTCTGAAATGCAAATAATAACATTCTTTGGTCTGAAATGCAAAAAGAAGAAAACTGTTGGAAGTTTTTATAAATATTAGAAAATAAAAGGCCATGTTGAGATTTTAAAAAAATAATAACAAGAGACTTGTCATCTTCTTCTGATCTGTTGGAGAGGAGAACAAATTTAATGGGGATTCTTCAGTTTAATCTAATTCCCGTTTTAGAACTGAATTCAAAACTTCAAATCCCAATTTAAATTTCCTCATTAAAATCTTTGAGAAATGAGCACGATTAGAGTATCAGACACTGTTCCTTCCCCAACAGAAGATTCTCACACCCTCAAAGAAGCTTTTCAAGGTTAGTGATGGTTTTTTTTTTTTTTGGTCTCTGCGTTTCTCTCCCAATATCATATATATATATATATATGTATATAGACTTTTCTTCTTCATTCTTTCTGGGTTTTTCTAAATAACTGTTCATGGAAGCAAAATGACTGGTTTTCTCTTTGTTTTTTCATTATGGGTTTTTGCAGTATTTCCAATGTTTTATTTTCTGGGTCTCTGTGTTTCTCCCCAATATATATAGATATTTATTTATATATGTATGTACACTTTTCTTCTTCATTTTTTCTGGGTTTTTCTATATAGATGTTCATGGAAGCAAATAACTGGTTCTCTCTCATGGGAATTCTCTCTCTCTCTCTCTCTCTCTCTCTCTCTCTCTCTCTCTCTCGTGGAAATTTGTTGGAAAAAAACGGAAATGAATCTGAATTTTGATTGAACAGGATTTGGGACTGACGAGAAGGCGATTATAAAGGTACTTGGAGCAAGAACAGCGAGGCAAAGAAGAGAAATCAGAGATACTTATCAGCAGCTTTACAATGAAAATCTCATTGATGCTCTCTTTTCTGAATTATCCGGTGATTTTAGAGTATGTTCATCTTCTACTCATCAGCATTATATATCATATCATTTCGTTCCATCCTCTAGATATTAGTTTCTGAAATTGGGTTTCTATAAAGTTATTTTCTTGCTTCCCAAACGAAAAAGAATTGCTTTTGGCCAAAAGTACTGTCTAAAATTTTCTGGATTAATGGACTTTTGGCTAAAAAAGTAATCTTTGAGATAATTTGATATAATTATTAGTTTTATATGGTGTCAAAGAATGAAGAGTTGTTTGTAAAGTTATATATATATATATATATATATATGTATTGTAAAATATGTTCTCAAATTCGTCGATAACTTGTGATAAAAATTTAAAATCAGTAATTTTTAACAGAAAGCTGTGATTTTATGGACAATCGACCCTCCGGAAAGGGATGCAAAACTTGCAAATGAGGCATTACAGAAGAAAAAAATAGGCATTAAGAACCTCAAAGTTATAGTTGAGATTGCCTGTGCATCATCTCCTCACCATCTTATGGCAGTCAGGCAGGCCTATTCTTCTCTTTTTGATTGTTCTCTTGAAGAAGATATCGTTTCCGCTGTCCCTCCGCTGATTGCAAAGGTAAAAACAACCTCTCTTTGTTCCCATTTAAGCATAAGAACTCCCAAGTCCGAACACCACTGACCCAACACTTTCTTATATTGAAATTTTAGTGTTTTAATTTGAAGTTTCATCGGTTGTATTTCTATACCATTTGAGATGGACATAGGTTTTTTATGTTGTTTCTTGATATTTGAGCTGCTTATTCTTGTTTGATTTATAGTCTTGAATCACTAAGAAAAATCTTGAATCTACTCTCTGTATATTCAAATGGTGTTCTTTTTAAATATAAGATTCAGAGTCCAAACTCGACTGACCTAATAATATCTTATAATGTCTCATGTGAGATGGACATAGGCCGCATATTTATGAGGTTTGTGATTGAAAAAGTTAATATAAGATCTTTAGAGATGTATGCACCAGAGATATAATATGACTGCACAGGTTTTGGTGGCTTTAGTGAGGTCCTACAGGTATGATAAAGAACTGGTGGATCCGAATGTAGCCAACTCTGAGGCAGTTCTACTACATGAAGCAATACAAAAGAAAAAGTTAGATCTTGATCATGTTCTCTATATTCTTGGAACTAGGAACTTCTATCAGCTTAGAGAAACTTTCAAAAGCTACAAGGAAAAGTTCAAAAATCCCGTCGAGAAGGTTCGGTTTATGCAGCTTAGTCTGCAAATTGTCATTTCCCATCTCCATTTTTGCTTCTGTTTCTTCCCTTTTGAATTGTTTTTATTTAGACAATTGAGTAAGTAATTTGACAGGACATCAAGAATTGTGGTAATGGTGATTTAGAATCTCTATTGAGAATGGTCGTTTCGTGCATAGATTGCCCGGAAAAACACTTTGCGGAGGTAATTAATTGAGTCATTTCCTATTACATTTTTGTTAATTTCACCATATATTTATGTTTTGAAGGTGACCCAGCTTATATTTACTTGGGCATTTTAAATGTAGAGTTTTCTAATTAACTGTGTATTTTGCTTGAATATTCATGAACAGGTTATTGGCACTTCTGTTATTGGGTTCGGGACAGATGAAGATTCATTAACCAGAGCCATTGTATCGCGAGCTGAAATTGACATGATGAAAATCAGAGGGGAGTATTTCAACCTGTATAAAACGAACCTCGATGGTGCAGTTATCGATGATACATCCGGAGACTACAGAGACTTCCTAATGACTTTGCTGGGAGCCAGAATTTGATTCAGTAATCAGTGTGTTTCTGTTTTCTTCTGGGTTTATTAGTGATCTTTGTTATTGTTTGTATTGGTGTCTATAGGAAATAAAAAAAATTAACATGAAAATATTCAGATCTAGGAGCTTGAAATGTTTGGTTTTCAGCTCAAACTGATTGTCTCTTCATAATTATCCGGAGTTATAAGCCGTAATACTAATAATAACACGGGTCTAAACCGGTTCAAACAATAAGAAGATTGTTTTCGGACTGGATCGGGATAATCGTCATTCGAAACCTGTCCAATCTCCTTGATAATACGCTGTTCAATTTGAAATAATTTATTCTCAAAATGAATCAGAGAATAGAAACTAAATCTTTATTATTAAGTAATTTTTTTAATATAAGCATTTTTACATTATGGATGATTTGTATTTTACATGACACACATTTATTTAGAACGAAATGACATTCTAAAAAATTACTTATTCTCGATGTAGCTTTTGTCGACATAGTGCAAAAACCGCTTTTTCCTCCATGTGTTTTCTGCAACAATAAAAACAACAAAGGATATGTCTCCTAACAATCTCACCAAATTCAAATAAAAATAGATTAAATTAAAGAAGAGAAAGAGATGATTACCAGCACGAAAAGTATATGCTTTGAACGAATGCAATCAAAGAATATCTCCGAGGAGACTAACATTACATTTGCGCTTACAAATGGAATCACATGTCTTGATCCAGGCCGAAGATTTGACACACTTGAAGATGCACTTTCTAAGACAACTCTTCGATTCTTCTGAAATTTGTGTTCCAAGAGAGGGCGATATTTTAGAATCGGGAGTGCCTTGTACTTGCGCTATGATTACCAATAACATAAAAAAAACTACTACTCGAGTTATTTCGATCCGTTCCATTCCAACTCTTTTCTCCTTGAACTTATGTGGTGGTTTACAACTTATCAAAACGACACTATTTATACCTCTTGAATTCCTTTGTCCATCATTTACTTTCTTTATTCTCCATGATTTTCTCTTTTGGCATATAAAGTATTATCTTTAAATATTTAATTGTAAAGATTTCATTTCTAAAAATCTAAAGATATAACATTTAATTTGAGTGATTCTTTCATAAAATATAAAGATCAAATTATCTTAATTGTATTTATAATATAGAAGGAAATCAAATAGAATTTAATTTAATGATTAATAAGTCCATAAAGTTTGATTTTTTTTTTTTCTATTATCACTTGGTTGATAATGATTTGCATATATTAAGACCCAAATTGTACTAAGCGCAAACTTTATAAACTAATTTAGTAATTTATTTTAAATTAATTAACAGAGTATATAGTTCAATCAAATTTGTATGTACAAAGTGTAAAGTTTATATACTAAATAAACTTTATTTCTAAATTTCATCAAATTTTTTGATTTCTTCCCAAGGCATTATAATCAATTTGCCTAACCTTACATTATGGATATTGATTGGCCTATATTGTAATGGCCTGTGAACTTGAAAGGAAATAAACTATGAATTGAATGCAGAAGCGAAATAATAAATTAGGGTTTTACATTCCTTACACAATAATTCAGGATACCCAATAAAGTTACGGGAATGACCATTCTAAAAGAACAACTAATAATTAAAGAAATAAATAAAAAGTAAATAAACTGAACGTCCTACTCGCAACCCTCTTATGGATCGGGCTCTAGATCTTAGTTATCTTGATCTGAAATGGTTAATGAAGGAGTGAGCTACACTAACTCAGTAAGAATATCACACTACTCACCGACACATAAATGAAGGTTGGTAGAAATAATAAAAATAACTAATGAAACTATTAATTTAAGTAAAATTCATTTATCATAAATAAAATTATTTACCGCATAGTTTGTAACGTCCAATAATTTTTGCATTTTTATTATTATTTTTTATTAATTTTTATTTTTATTTATTTTATTTATTTAGTTTAATTTATAATTAAAAAAAAAATAATAATAATAATAATTGTAAAATTGGGTAAAAATATTATTTGGATTTAATTGAAATTGATTTTGGGAAAAAGGGGTGAAAATTAGGATTCTGGGGGTATTTTTGAAAAGAAAATCAGAAATTGGGGGTCAAAACGCAATTTAGAAAAATTGCGCCACGTCAGCGCCACCTCAGCAGCCATGTCAGCGGCCCAGTCAGCAGCCCTGGCCAACCAGGACCTGCCACGTGGCGAGACGACGTCGACCCGGGAACGGGCCACGTGCGTGATCCGCGTGCGCGCGATCGGACGGCCCAGATGCACGCGCACGGACGGCCCAGATTCAATCAAGAACGAACGGCCCAGATTTAATCAAAATAGACGGCTGTGATCAAAAGGCAAAAGGGTATAAATAAAACCCC